AAAAAAAAAAAAAAAAAAAAAAACAGAGCTGAAGGGTAGGAGAAACAGCTGTATCACTTTTACACCAAGAAACGGAAAACTATCCTTGACAGTAACATTCAACAAACTGATGGTCCTAGTAGGGTTACCAAAACTAAATATCCACTCATGTTATCAGCTTTCTAAATAGGGTATGTTGTTACACCTGCAGTGGCTTGCTGACTGATATTTCTGACACTTCTACCTCAAGTTCCATCCCAAGGTCATTCATAGATATTCACAGACCCTGGGTTACCTCCTACCCCCTCACTTGGCCAGCTGTTGACCCCAGAAGCTTCATGTATTTCACTTCATTTCCTCCCATTTTGGCTCCATGGTCACCACCAGGCCCTGTCTCATGGTCTCTTGGCTGGTGTTCCTGTCCTCAACCACCAATCCATCCTGCCCCTATATCCTGGAGACATCCTCTATCATCTGGTTTAGCCCCATCTGTGTCTCAAACCAACTGGATAACTTCACACCATTGCTTCACTCTTGAGTGCCTCAATTTCCTCAACTATAAAAGAATAGCATTGGGCTGGGCCATCTCCAAAGCTCCATTTCACTCTAGGATGCACATTCCTATAGAAGAGCAAGAGTAGAAGAAACTGCGGTACCTTTCTCTCAACAGCAGATGGCATTCCATCACTGACAACAGTCTACACCTCTTGGCTTCCACTGCTCCTGAACACAGAGCCAGAGGAGATAACCCTGCTCTGAACCATTTCAAGTTTTTCCTTCAACTAGATCATCTAATCATTTAAGAAACATTTACTGGCCAGGCGTAGTGGCTCATGCCTGTAATCAGGAGGCCAAGGCAGGAGGATTGCATGAGCCCAGGAGACTGAGGTTGTAGTGAGCCACTGTACTCTCACCTGGACAAAAGAGAGAGATCCTGTGTCCCTGATCCCCAAAAAAGAAGGCTGGGCACGGTAGCTCACAACTGTAATCCCAGCACTTTGGGAAGCCAGGTCAGGCAGACTGCATGAGTCCAGGAGTCTAAGTCCAGCCTGGGCAACATGGCATCACCCTGTCTCTATAAAAAACACAATTAGCCAGATGTGACGGTGTGTGCCTATAGTCCCAGCTACTCAGGAGGCTGAGGTAGGAAGATCGCTTGACATTGGGAGGTTGCAGTGAGCCGAGATTGTGCCACTGCACTCCAGCTTGGGTGATAAAGCAAAATCTTGTCTCAAAATATAAACAAATAAAACATTTACTGAGCACTTACGACATGTGGCAGGCCCAGAGCTGGTGATGAACTCCCCTTCTGGTGGGGCAGACACACTTGTATAGAAATGACTGTGGTATGGCCAGGCATGGTGGCTGAAGCCTGTAATCCCAGCACTTTGGGAGGCTGAGGCGGGCGGATCTCAAGGTCAGGAGTTCGAGACCAGCCTGGCCAATGATGAGACCCTGTTTCTACTACAAATACAAAAATTAGCTGGGCATGGTGGCATGCACCTGTAGTCTCAGCTACTCGGGAAGCTGAGGTAGAAGAATCGCTTGAACCCAGGAGGC